ACAAACAAACCAACCCCATTACGTGTGTTGATAACTGACAGCGTTCTTTCATGTCCTCCCCAGCGCTCACGGAGTCACATGTTCATATTACATTACCTATGTATTAGTTTCCCTTCCTGTCCACATCTTTTCTGTGTGAAGCAGCTGATTTCACCTGACTCCACCCTATAGAGAAACTAATGTGAAGCCTCAGCAAGCCACGAGTCAAATATACAGGGTCTCAGCCCTAGCGCAGTGGAGGCGTCTTCTCACAGAAGGTAGTTTCTACTGAAAGCGATAACTCTTGAATCTGCCCTCAGCTCTGGAATCTGAAAGCTTCATTCAGCTTCAGCTCATCAAGTCATTGTCTGACAGTGTAGATGTTGTTAGGAAGAGACCACTTCACAGTCAGAGTGGACAGCAGGAAGGTATCACTGCCACAACACCCTCCTCCATCACAATGTGGCTGACTTAGATCACCTCAGAGCTTGGTACAAATCTTGACCATAGCATATTCATGAAAATAAGAACTATGCCATTCTGAATTGACAGACTGTTCTGAGCTCAGCAGCAGCTGATGAATCTGTGTTGACATGAAGAGGTGTTGTTGACATGAAGAGGTGTATGAATGTTGTGCTGACATTTGGATGATGTGTGTAGAAGGCTGACATGATGATGATCCACAATAACAGAAGGACAAAGTCCCTCTACTCATTTTAGACAAAGATCATTGATTAGGACATATCTGATCCATTATCAATCATTTAATCTACTTCTTTTTATTCTTTATTCAGATTGGAGGGCTGCAGTTTGTCAGAGATCAGCTGTTCTTCTCTGGTCTCAGCTCTGAAGTCCAACCCCTCCCATCTGAGACACCTGTACCTGAGTCACAGCGACCTGCAGGATTCAGGAGTGAAGGGTCTGTGTGGTTTTCTGGAGAGTCCAGACTGTAGACTGGAGACTCTGAGGTCAGTTCACTGACTTTTACTGTTTTAGATCTTATATCTTTATGTGTGTGTGTGTGTGTGTGGTCATTCAACGCTTCCAAGCAGCAACTTTGTCTCTAAAACTCACTTTTTATTATTTATTCAGATTGAGGAACTGCAGTTTGTCAGAGATCAGCTGTTCTTCTCTGGCCTCAGCTCTGAAGTCCAACCCCTCCCATCTGAGAGAACTGGACCTGAGTCACAACAACCTGCAGGATTCAGGAGTGAAGGGTCTGTGTGGTTTTCTGGAGAGTCCAGACTGTAGACTGGAGACTCTGAGGTCAGTTCACTGACTGTTACTGTTTTAGATCTGTTTTCTTTATGTGTGTGCGTGTGTGTGCGTGTGCGTGTGTGTGTGTGTGTGTGTGTATTTACTGAGTCAGGACCAATCAAGACGTTTGTCCTGGATCTTTAAACTTTGATCCAGCTCAGTCATGAATCAAAGAGTCTGATCAGATATTGATTCTGTATTGAGTGTTCTGAGGTCAGCAGCAGNGCTGTTCTTCTCTGGCCTCAGCTCTGAAGTCCAACCCCTCCCATCTGAGACACCTGTACCTGAGCTACAACAAGAACCTGCAGGATTCAGGAGTGAAGGGTCTGTGTGGTTTTCTGGAGAGTCCAGACTGTAGACTGGAGACTCTGAGGTCAGTTCACTGACTGTTACTGTTGTAGATCTTATATCTTTATGTTGGTGCGTGTGTGTGCGTGTGCGTGTGTGTGTGTGTATTTACTGAGTCAGGACCAATCAAGACGTTTGTCCTGGATCTTTAAACTTTGATCCAGCTCAGTCATGAATCAAAGAGTCTGATCAGATATTGATTCTGTATTGAGTGTTCTGAGGTCAGCAGCAGCTGATGACTCTGTTGACATGAAGAGGTGTATGAATGTTGTGCTGACATTTGGATGATGTGTGTAGAAGGCTGACATGATGATGATCCACAATAACAGAAGGACAAAGGCCCTCTACTCATTTTAGACAAAGATCATTGATTAGGACATATCTGATCCATTATCAATCATTTAATCTACTTCTTTTATTCTTTTTTCAGGTTGAAGAGCTGCAGTTTGTCAGAGATCAGCTGTTCTTCTCTGGCCTCAGCTCTGAAGTACAACCCCTCCCATCTGAGAGAACTGGACCTGAGTCAGAACAACCTGCAGGATTCAGGAGTGAAGGGTCTGTGTGGTTTTCTGGAGAGTCCAGACTGTAGACTGGAGACTCTGAGGTCAGTTCACTGACTGTTACTGTTTTAGATCTGTTTTAGATGTCTGTATTCACTCCCCACAACGTCTGGGCATGCTCCTGATGAGTGGGCGGACGGTGTCCTGGGGGATTTCCTCCCAGACCTGGATCAGGGCATCAGTGAGCGCCTGGAAAGTCTGTGCCGGTACTTGGCGGCGTCGGACGCGCCGATACATAACGTCCCCTAGGTGCTCAGTTGGATTGAGGTCAGGGGAATGTGAGGGCCAGTCAATGGCATCAATGCCTTCATCATCCAGGAACTGCCTACACACTGTGGCCACATGAGGCCGGGCGTTGTCCTGCACCAGGAGGAACCCAGGCCCACTGCACCAGCGTCAGATCTGACAGTCACTCTGAGGATTTCATCCCAGTACCTAACCCAGTACCGTTGGCTATGACATGGAGGTCTGTGAGACTCTCCAAGGATCTGCCTCCCCAGACCATCACTGACCCACGGCCAAACCGCTCGTGCTGGATGATGTTACAGGCAGCACAATGTTCACCACGGCGGCGTCTCCAGACTCTTTCACGCCTGTCACATGTGCTCAGTGTGAACCTGCTCTCATCTGTGAAGAGAACGGGCACCAATGGCGGACCTGCCAATCCTGGTGTTCTCTGGTGAATGCCAGTGGAGCTGCACGGTGCTTGGCTATGACAGGTCCCACTAGAGAACATCAGGTCCTCATGTCGCCCTCATGGAGTCTGTTTCTGACAGTTTGGTCAGACACATTCACACCAGCAGCCTGCTGGAGGTTGTTTTGTAGGGCTCTGTCACTGCTCCTCCTGTTCCTCCTCACACAAAGCAGCAGGTACCGGTCCTGCTGCTGGGTTGATACTCTTCTTCGGCCCGGTCCAGCTCTCCTCGTGTAATGGCCGGTCTCCTGGTATCTCCTTCATCCTCTTGAGATTGTGATGACACAGCAAACCTTCTTGTGATCACACGTTTGGATGTGCCATCCTGGAGGAGCTGGACTACCTGTGCAACCTGATTGTGCTGCAGGTCCCGCCTCATGCTCCCAGTAGTTACAAGGACACCAGCAAAACACAAAACTAGAGAAGAATCAGTGAGGAAGGATCAGGAGAGAGCAACTGTCTGTGGCCACCACATGTAAAACCATTCCCTTTTGGAGGTTGTCTTGCTTTTGCCTCCATTGCACCTGTTGTCACTTTCCTTTGCACCAAAGCAGGTGAAACTGATTCACATTCTTCCTAAATGGACAGATTGATATTTGTTTGTGAGGTGAAAGGATAGGGCCAGCTCCCTCTAGGGTTTTAGCAGTAAGCAGGATGGTGTGTTGGTCAGGACACAGGAAGGAAGGTGAGGAGATGTAATTCTTTATCAATCTGCTTCAGGCTCCAGCAGGGTTTATTGTTGGACACTCAGTATTGCCATCAGTCTGGAATAACAGTAAATCACCATCAGACACTGGTATCTTAGCAACAGAACACAGAGTAATTACTTAAGTTATTATTAAAGAAATGTCCATATTTATATGTTTATCAAATACACGACTTATATCCTTTCTGATACAAACTATATGAATATGCAGGGCAAGGTCCTTTAACATAACATACATGCAGGATTTCACAAAGTAAGAGTATAATATTAATAGTGACCCAGACTGACAATATACAAATGAGAATATAATGATCCAGTTCAGTCATGAATCAAAGTGTTGTAGTCAGTTTTTAGTCCAACGTGTCTGATCAGATATTGATTCTGTATTGACAGACTGTTCTGAGGTCAGCAGCAGCTGATGAATCTATGTTGACATGAAGAGGTGTATGAATGTTGTGCTGACATTTGGATGATGTGTGTAGAAGGCTGACATGATGATGATCCACAATAACAGAAGGACAAAGTCCCTCTACTCATTTTAGACAAAGATCATTGATTAGGACATATCTGATCCATTATCAATCATTTTATCTACTTCTTTTATTCTTTATTCAGATTGGAGCGCTGCAGTTTGTCAGAGATCAGCTGTTCTTCTCTGGCCTCAGCTCTGAAGTCCAACCCCTCCCATCTGAGAGAACTGGACCTGAGACTCAACAAGAACCTGCAGGATTCAGGAGTGAAGGAGCTGCATGATCTCATGGAGAGTCCAGACTGTAGACTGGAGACTCTGAGGTCAGTGGGGGTGGGGTGGGGGGGGGTGGATGCTGCTCGTCTGACACAGATGTTGTTAGATAACTCAGTATCAGAGCAAAGATCCAGTGTTTCCTGTAAACCTCCATCGCTTCTCAGTGAAGCTGTGAGAGTAGTCAGGACTTGGACAGAGAGACAGAGAGAGAACAGTCGGCCAATCAGAGCAACCAGAAGCTTGTTGTGATCATGTGTCTGAGTTGATGTGAAGACGTCTGTTGTCGTTGTGTTGATGTGGACAGGAAGTAAAGCTGATAACAGCTGACAGCCTCACAGATGAACAGAGACAGTTTGATCTGTCGCTGCTCTGAGATGCAGTCTGATGAAGACTCAGTCCCATTCTGGCTCTAATCTCAGACTGATCTCAGAGCAGTAATGTTCCTGTGTGAAGGTCCAGGAGGAGATGATGGAGACTGGTTCTGACTGATGCTCTTCATCAGCCCACCTGAAGAGAACACACTGAAGCCAGTCTTCATCACTGATCACCACGGCAACTGTGACCAGACCGGTGTTTCTGCTGGAACCGCTTCCTGTCAAAATCTGGACCTTACAAAATAAGAGCATGCCCCATCATCAACTCTGGTTACAACATGTTATAACAACAACAATAATAATAATAATAATAATAATAATTAACTGTTTAAAATCTTCACGTCTTCACAAGAAAGATAAAATGTTCCTCATAAAAAGTCCTAAAATCATCAGGTTTAAAAAGATGGAAACAGTTTAGTGAATAAAACAACTTGTGCAGGACGATCTCTGTGTCTTTACAAGCTGAAATATACGTCGTACAGTTTTTAATATTTCTAAGATGATCAAACGACACGAGCTTCCTGCTGCTCAGATCTTACAGGGAAGTTCTTACAACAGGCGTCACATGTTCCACTAGAGAACCAGCAGGGGGCAGAGTTTGTTTTGTGTGTGCTGGGATCCAGTGATGAGGATCTGATCCAACTTTCCCTCCAGTGACACAGCTGATGTCAGTGGAGGGAAAAATAACTCATGAGTGTTTCTGAGCAGTTTTACCAGTCAGGAGTTCACACTGTGTGAGCCGTGGCCTGTGATTGGACGATCTCTGTCCAGACAAGTAGGACCTTTAACATCTGTCCAGAGGTTTGGTTTGAATATTTTCAGGTCTGTGAGCTTCCAGCTCAGTGTTCACTCCAACACGTTAACATGAGAGCTGAGAGGAAGCAGGCTACGCTACACAGCTGCTGCACATCTGGTCTGAACAGGACTGAAGTCCCTGCTGCATCACTGACTGACAGCTGCTGAAGTCTCTGAGATTCATCATCTCTGCTCTTCTTCTTCTTCTCTACAGCTGGAGGTGATCTGTCTACAGAGAGGGAAGAGGAGAGGAGAGCTTCATCCAGCAGTGACTGACAGAGGAATCAGAAGAAGTGGAGATGACTCTCAGTGCTGAAACACACACTTCCTGTTTGTGTTGCTCTCAACAGTCTGAGCTTCACAAAGAGGGACTTTCAGTGTAAAATGACTTTAACTCTGAAGATGAGTTTGACTCAGACGGTTGAAGCCTCGTGTTCTTCAGCTGAACTTTAGGAGATATTATTGTAGGAGGAACATGTTGTTGTTATCCTCCATCTCTTCATTAATGTTGTGACCAACAGCTCTGTCAGTGTGTAAATAGACATGTGACGTGTTTTCAGACAGGCTGTCCATTATAATGTAGAGTCAACAAATATCATTGCTTTAATTCATCTTTAATTAACTGATTTTAAATCATCCTTTATGGTAAATAATGTGTTTATATTTACTTCCTGTTCTTACAGCCTGATCTCTGACTCATGTTTAGTTCACCTGTTTTTATAGCAGAATAATAATTCACTGTAAATTCAAATGTAACTTTATTTAATCACAATGAAAACACAGTGAAGGAGGCAGTAGAGTCTCAGGTCTTCCTTTCTGGTTGGATGGAGCCAGAACAACCTCCACCAATCAGAGGTTGAGTGCAGCCTGAGAGGTAAAACCCAGGGCTGAGAAAGTCCACAGACACTGACTGCTGCTGTAAAGGCTGTTGCTGCAGACGTAGAGAAGTAAAGACAAACCCGGGTGAGAGCATCAACACCTTCATCAGCTCCTCCTCTCTCATTGGCTGAACAGTCAGAGGACACAGCTGAGAGGTTTCAGTGAGGAAGTCACAGTCAGACATGTTTTTTTTATCAGCTCTACTTCTGTCATCAACACACCTTCAAAATAAAGGTTTCATATCTGAGTCTGACAGGTTTTATTTGAACATTTTACAGAAACATTTTGCTCTAAACTTCAGCTATTGAAACGTTTCCAGGTGTAGTTCAGACATCTCCCACAGCCGCCTGAAGGCAGCAGAACATTCATTATTCCTGCACTCACAGTGACACTTAGAACACAACACAGTTGGTGTAAATTCAGATGAAAGTAGTCCGTCTGCTGGTTACTACCGTTTGGTGACACCTGGTGGTGACGGGGAGAACTGCAGCCTGGTTTCACACCTGAACCACTTTCATGAAGCTCGTTCTCACTGCACCTTCACACTGAAACACGTAGAACCAAGTTTAACCTGTTTCAGCCTGGAGGGACCACCTGTCCTGCAGAGGACAAACAGTCTTTAGCCTTATTGTCCTTCATGTGTCTGGACAGAGTGTGAGGCAGCTCCGTGGTTTCAGCACCTGCCCTCACACACTCATGTTCACCTGCACACCTGAGCAATTATCTACTTGAAACTGTTCTGTAAGAAATCATCACTGCCACCAGATGTCACACACCACCAACATCTCAGACCAAAACAAATGCTTCCACAAGTCCAGCCTCCATTCAGCCTTGGACAGATCCAATGGGACGAGATACATGAATCACACTGATGGAGCTGGTAAAGACAATGAAAGAACCAGTTAAGACATTGAAGGAGCCGATCAAGACAAAGAAGGAGCTGGTGAAACTGATGGAGCTGGTAAAGACAAAGAAAGAACAAGTTAAGACACAGATGGAGCCAGTTAAGACACTGAAGGAGACGATAAAGACAAAGAAGGAGCCGGTGAAACTGATGGAGCTGGTAAAGACACAGAAGGAGCCAGTAAAAACACTCAAGGAGCCGGTAAAGACAAAGAAGGAGCCGGTGAAAATGATGGAACTGATAAAGACACTGAAGGAGATAAAGACACTGATGAAGCTGGTAGAGACACTAGTGGAGCCAGTAAAGAAGCTGATGGAACTGTTAAGACCTTAAAAACTATGGATGTTCTGATGGTCCACCAGCCGGAACTTCTTCAAATTTGGCACAACGTTCACTTGGACTCAAGGATGAACTTATTAGATTTTAGGGGTCAAAGGTCAAGGTCAGTGTGACCTCAAAAGACTTTTTAGCCATTGATCAAGAGTTCACAGTAATTATGATGTAATTTCACATAAATGGTTCATATTTTATATGACTCTGGATAAACATGTAACCTGGAACTAACCTGAGAGGTGGAGGGATACAGCCATGAGGAGGTGGTTCTAGTTCTTTTTTGTTATGATTCAGGCACTTTTTGTACCATTGGGTTCATACCTGTGAAACATTTATCTGTATTCCAGAAGTTTAAGCTGTGTAGGAGGAACAGTGGGAGACAGGTGAGGCAAAGATACTGTGTGAGGTGAAAGGGACAGGTGTGTACAGGTGAAAAACAACAGGAAGTTATTTACTGTAGTTCGCCAACAGCAGCCACAGTGACACAAAGCTCATGGAAACAATGAATGTAGGACACTTTAAAACAGAGACAGACCGTGGAAATTTGTGTCATAACTCAGAGTCCTGACTGAGTCAGACCTGAACCACATGCTGATGTGATTCAGTGTGACTTCACTTCCTGTCATTGTCATTATCTCTGATGCCCCTCCAGAATAAAGCTCCAGAAATCCACTTAGAAACCAGAGAAAACAAGTTGAATATCATGATACACTGCAGACAGGAGCTGATCACAGATAGTTCAGCATACATAATGTTCCAAAATGTGAACAAGGCCTCAAAAATATCAAGGCTCGGGCGTCACGTAGCGCAGTGGGTTACGCAGGCGCACCATATATAGAGGCTACAGTCCTTGCTGCAGCTGGCCCCCGGTTCGACTCCCGCTTCGGACGGCCCTTTCCTGCGTGTCATTCCCCCTCTCTCTGCCTCCCCATTTCATGTCTCTCTACTGTCCTGTCCATTAAAGGCACAAAAAGCCCAAAAAGAAAAAATAATTAAAAAAAATAATAAAAATATCGAGGCTCCAGTTGTAGCTCACAGTGTAACTCACTGAAACACGATACTTCCTGTTTCTGTCAGTTAAATCTGGCAGCAATAGAAGGAGATTGTCTGATTTTATCTGGTTCACTGAACAGGTGTAAAAATAAAAGTTACACTGATGTCAGTATCAGTTATGTCCACTACATAGTTAGCTTAGCTTAGCACAAAGAATGGAGCCAGGGCAAAACTCCTTTAGCAAACAAGTCAGTCAGAGTTTGTTCCTGAACAGAAACAGGACTGTAGAGGAGAGGTGAAGGTTTTAGCAGCAGTTACACTATGGAACAAGGATTCGTTAAAATACCACAGATCGTTTCTTAAGTTACTCCTGAAACCAAACAGTTTGGTGTCGTGGTACTTCATTAGTCCATTATCAACTATAACACCTTAATTTGCTGCTGCTAACGTTAACATTAAACTTACCATCAGTGTTTTATACACATACGTTATTCTGACTGGTCTTTTTCAATTATCTGTTTTTTTCTTATCATTCCTTTTTCTTCTTTGGGCTTCAACACCTCGTCTGTTTCAACCTGTTGTCTGACAGTTCGTCTGCAGCAGGTCTGTTGTTGTGTCGTGAGATCCTTGTGTCAACGTACAGTTGTGTAGTCATTGTGCAGTTGTATAATTGTGTAGTTGTAGTATAGTTGTGTAGTCATTGTGTAGTAGTTGTGTAGTTTTTTAATAATTGTGTAGTAGTAGTTGTTGTGTAGGTGTAGTACAGTTGTAGTAGTTGTATAGTTGTGTATTAGTTGTGTAGTAGTAGTAGTTGTGTAGTTGTGCAGTAGTTGTGTAGTTATAGCATAGTTGTGTAGTAGTTGTGTAGTAGTAGTTGTGTACCCGTCTCCAGCCTGTCCTTTTGTGGGCCGTGCTGACACGACTCTGGAGCATGTGTGGTCCAGAAATAGCAGCAGAGGATCAGATTCTCTGGAGCTGATCGTCAGCAGCTTCCAGCGTCTGTTTCTACTCAGTTCTACTTTATACAACGACATGTTCTAATGTTCCACGGTGGAACCAGCAGCTGCTGACTCACAGTGCTAACATGAACAGGACACACAACCCTGGTTCTGGTCTGAGTCACACTGGACTCACTGGATGCCTTTAGAGCTCCACACCTTTTATGGGCAGGAATTTACAGCTTTCATTCATTCAGATCCTGAAGCTGCTGGACTCAGGAAGTCCGGACTGAGGTCCGTCAGACCGACCTGGACTAACTCTGGACCGGTCTGACAGATTCTGGACTGAGGTCCGTCAGAGTTAGTCCAGAGACCAATGAATAAGTCTGGGGCTGATTTTTGGTCTTTAAACTGGGGTTCTACCAAGTTTGTAATGGTTCCAATTGGATTCTATTCAGGTCATACTGGCTTTATTGGGTATATCCTGGTTCTAATGGGGTTCTGGAAGGACTGCAGTAGTGAGCTAAGGTTGTCATGGTTCTAGTCTGGTTCTACTGAGCTCATCGTGCTTTCACTGGGGTTCTGCACGAGGTTATACTAGTTCCATACTGATATGTCACATTGGTTCTACTTGGTGTTCTGAGCTTGTAGCAGTTCTTATGATGTTCTGCTGTTACACTGGTTGTAATGGGGTTTTACTAGTTGTATTTGGGGTTCTAATTAGGTTAATCAACTTCTAATGAGGTCAAACTGGATCTAATGAGGGGTTCTATTGGTTCTAAAAAACATGTATGGATACATGCATGGATGTAACAGTGTTCTACATAGTTTATAGCAGTTCAAACGGGATTCTTCTGAAGTCGTACTGGTACTTTAGGGTTCTATTGGAGCTTATAATAGGGTTTTACTAAGGAAAGAACTGGTTCTAATAAAGTTCTATTGAATTTGTAGTGGTTCTACTGGGGTTCCCATCCTAAATAGGTTCTCATGAGGTTATAGTGGATTTAACAGGTTCTAATAGATTCTACTTAAGTCGTATTGGTCCTATTGGGTTCTAGTGGAGCTTATGCTGGGGTTTTACTGAGGAAAGAACTGGTTCTAATGAGGTTCTACTGAATTTGTAGTAGTTCTATTGGGATCTCACATATCCTAAATAGGTTCTACTGGATCTAACAGGTTCTAGTAAATTCATTAAGGTCACAAATGGGTCTTTCTGACCATATTTTTTCTACTAAGGCCACAATGGGTCTACCAAGGTTCTAATGGTGGTCACAATGGTTCTGCTGAGGTTGTACTGATGCCATGTGTTCTTATAGTTAGATTAGAACATAGTTGCGTTATACAGGCGTTCTACGGGATCAGACTGGTCACAGTAATTACACTGGGGTTCTTTTAACTGGTTCTAATACAAGAGTTCTACTCAGGTCAAAATGCTTCTACACACATTATACAGGTTCTACTGAGGTTCTACTGAGCTCATGGTGCCTCAACTGGTTCTCAGTGTTACAGAACAGATCATTTAAACCTGACTGGTGTTTAAAGATCAGAGGAGACCCACAGACAGGAAGTAGAACATGACTGACACCTGTTCACGAGGAACCTCTGCAGTGGATCTCAGGCGATCACCAGGTGAACGACCTGCGGGTGAAAGTGCTCTGTGATTGGTGGAAGCAGAGACGAGGCGGGGAGGCGTCAGATCTGCCACAGGCTTTTATTGCAAAGTGGCTTCCTGTGATCTCAGAAACAACGTTCCACTTTAAGGCTCCAGATGTCGTGTTGTTGTTGTTGTTGTTGTTGTTGTTGTTGTTGTTGTGGGGTCGTCTCTCACTGCTGGGGTCAAATCTGCTTCCTGTAGTGTTTCTTTACAAAATAAAAGTGCACTCTAACTAACTCTGGTGTGACGGTTACATTCAAACTGAAAGTAAGGCGACGACCAAACAGCTAGAATGACGGTGAGTCCAACAGGAATGAAAACTGAGGTAAACAAACGTTAGCGTGGCGACATAAACACAGAGAATTTGACGTCAGGATCTTTTCTGTCTCAACCTGTAGTGTTTCAACAAAAAGTGCTGGGTAATAATCTTCTTCTTCTCTTCTGAATGCATAGTCTAACAATGTGTCTGCCTGGTTTGAACATACTGGAGAAGAAACAACACTTTACAATAATAAATAATCATATGTAAAAACCCGTGTGCTGCAGGAGGCGGAGCTTGGCGGCGCGTCGCTCGCCTCTGACACATGTGGCTGCTTCCTTCACATCGACTTTTTGGCAAAACTCTGGCTGTGAGAGAGAAACAACCTTCCTGGGGTTTGGTAGTGTGTCGGTTTGTTTTTTTTCTGCCAGGTGAACAGAAGTCATGTGGCAACAAACTGGGAGGTGTTTGCATATCATTATGTTAATGAGATCTCCTTCATGTTGGAAAAAAAGCAAAAAGAACAAAAACAAAAAGAAAACAAAGAGGCCTAAAGACGCTAACTCCTTCAGGACATGGATACAGACAGAGCAAGCTGCTGGGTGAAGCGGCGGTGTTCAGGTGGGGTCAGGTGCTTCGGTCCGGATGGCACGGCGGTTGGCTTGGCTCCGCTCGGCTCGCCGCCCTGACATCACAGCGGCTTGCCCTCCAGAGACACCACAACGTTCCCGCCCAGCTTCTCGGCCAGCGTGGTGCGGTCCTGGATGTCGTCCAGCCCGTTCACCTGCCACTCGTGTTTGATACCTGAGGAGACACATCTGAGGTCAATGAGGGGTCAGGGACACACCTGAGACACACACTGACGGACACACCTGAGCTAAACAAACACACCTCACAAACAACCAATCACACCTGAGCTGCTGATTTCAGAGCACCATGTTTGTTTACAACTCTGATTAATGAGATCAACAGGTGAGACAGAGTGAGACGTCTCCCCACAGGAGGATCTTTGTGTTGATCTAAGAGGTCAGAGGTTAAAACTCCTACAAACCTCTGAATGTTCCTGCACTGTGCCAACAAACAGAACCTGACAGAGATGTCATCATCTATAATCTATAATCTGTAGTAATCACTGGCTGATACATACGACATCATGGCTGACCCTGATGACCTCTGACCTCAGCAGGTGACAGGACAACTCACCTGTAAACTTCTTTTTGATGGCATCTTTAGAGCTCGCGTAGATCATCTTGCTCTTCAGTGGAGCGCTCTCCGGAGCCCTGAGGAACAACAGAACACAGGAGAACAGTGAGAACAGGAGAACAGTGAGAACAGGAGAACAGGAGAACAGTGAGAACACAGGAGAACAGGAGAACAGAGAGAACAGGAGACCAGAGAGAACAGGAGACCAGAGAGAACAGGAGACCAGAGAGAACAGGAGACCAGAGAGAACAGGAGACCAGAGAGAACAGGAGACCAGAGAGAACAGGAGACCAGAGAGAACAGGAGACCAGAGAGAACAGGAGACCAGAGAGAACAGGAGACCAGAGAGAACAGGAGACCAGAGAGAACAGGAGACCAGAGAGAACAGGAGACCAGAGAGAACAGGAGACCAGAGAGAACAGGAGACCAGAGAGAACAGGAGACCAGAGAGAACAGGAGACCAGAGAGAACAGGAGACCAGAGAGAACAGGAGACCAGAGAGAACAGGAGACCAGAGAGAACAGGAGACCAGAGAGAACAGGAGACCAGAGAGAACAGGAGACCAGAGAGAACAGGAGACCAGAGAGAACAGGAGACCAGAGAGAACAGGAGACCAGAGAGAACAGGAGACCAGAGAGAACAGGAGACCAGAGAGAACAGGAGACCAGAGACAACAGGAGAACAGTAAGAACAGGAGAACAACAGAATACAGAGAACAGTGAGAACGGGGAACAGTGAGAACAGGAGAACAACAGAACAGGAGAACAGAGACAACAAGAGAACAGTAGAACAGTGAGAACAGGAGACCAGAGACAACAGGAGAACAGTGAGAACAGGAGAACAGGAGAACAGAGACAACAGGACAACAGTGAGAACAGGAGAACAACAGAACACAGAGAACAGTGAGAACAGGAGAACAGTGAGAACAGGAGACCAGAGACAACAGGAGAACAGTGAGAACAGGAGAACAACAGAACACAGAGAACAGTGAAAACAAAGAGAACATGAGAACAGAGAGAACAAAGAGAACATGGGAACAGGGAGAACAACAGAACACACAGAACAGGAGAACAGTGAAAACAGGAGAATTAACTGATTATAAAACAGTTGCACTTGATGAAATCAATTAACCAACTAATGATTGCAGCTCTGGTGGGGGAACCTGTTTCTTGGATGGACTAAGTTCTACTTGGAATAATTATTTGTATTTAGTTGCTGTTTTTTTTTAAGAAGTATTACCTGATTAAAAGTTTTATATTTTATCTACTCTGTCTCCCTCACTGAGCTTCATGCTGCTCCTCATGTCACTAACGCTGCAGGTACCTGCAGGTGTTCAACAGACGATTCGCACCTTCAGCAGATGAAAGTGAAAACAGCTTTTCAACATCAAACTCTGGACAGTGAAGCTCAAACATCCCAAGAACCATGAACACAACCCTTCTTCTTTCTTCTTCAGTTTTATCACGGGGTTAAAATGAGCATTAATATAAGTTCCAGGAAGTTCCTCAGAGAACGGCAGAGACGGTGGATACTGAAGGTGAATTCCTCCAGTGGAAACAGTCTGGAGGAATAATCCTAGAAACTAGGACCTAACCTGTGTCAGTCTGAGAACTCTGGACCAGTCAGGACTGATCGATACAGACTCTGAGACCGATCGATACCTGATCAAAGATCAAAGACAAGAAGACAAAGCTGACTGTGTTGTTATCAGAGCTCATGACTGAAACCAATCAACGTATCAACACTGTACCAGAAGATGAAGACGAGGTCCTCCTTCTTGGACTCCTTGGTCTCGTAGGTGGCGTCGTACAGGCCGTATCTGCAGTCGTTGAGGGGGAGGAGCTTGACGAAGCAGGCGTACGGGTCGTCCACGGTCTCTCCGATGTCCCCCACCAGGATCTGCTTCCCCTCCTCCACGATGATCTTCTTCCTGTCCTCGCTCAGACAGAACAGGACCGCCTTCTTCCTCTTCTTCACCTCGTCCTGGGTCGAAGACTTCCTCACCTTCATGTCGTTGAACACCCTGATGACCTCATCGTTCACTGTCACACCTGACGCCTGCAGAGGACAGGTATGATTGGTTCAATTAAGGACACATCAGTGCACGCACACATACACACACACAGATTTATTTGTAGGACCAGGGCTGGGTATTGAACGTCCATACAGTTATAGATTGACTGAATTGGTTTGATACTGTCGATACCTCAATGAGTAAACCTCATCGGTGTCAGCGAGCCAATCAGCATGCAGTCTGTTTACTTACACCAAAACGTTTGAGTGAGTGAAGAGACCAAGCTTAAAAATTAAAAAAAAAAACTAAAACTAAAACTAAAACGTTTTCTGTAATTTTCTTTTTGTTAAAATGGATTTGATCAAATTAATTGAGAAAAGTATCATTTAGAGTCAATATCAAAGTCGGGGTTTCAGAATCAGAACTGATATTAAACATTATTTAACGACACCCAGCTCTATTCAGGACTGCAGGTCCGTCAGAACCAGACATGGACAGAAAATAATTGACAATAAATATAATAAACGTATAAAGAGTAGCTGGTTAGTTAGTTCACAGTGTTTCCACCACTGAAGAAGAAACCACATCTTCATCTAAAAAGGCCTCAGACAAAGAAAGAGATGAGACCTGAAAGAGATGTCCCTAAAGTTTTTGAAGTCTTTACAGGCTGAATTTCTGTCCCAGTCTGACCGTGGAGCTGATACTGGTCTGGTTTACTGAGAGGAGAACCCTCCGAGCTGCTAAAGGGTCCAACTGGACTCAGAACTGGTTTTTCTTCTCCTTCATGTGTCAGTAACTTGATGCTTCATGATGTTACGTCTGTTTTCATTAGTGACGGCTACAGTAGACATGCTAACGTTAGTCAACTTCCTGTTACCTGTATTATGAATTTTTTTGGCAAATGTTGCTATTGCTAGCTGGCTAGCTGGCTAACTGTCAGCATTGCTGTGGAGAATATCACAGCAATGCTAATGTGAGCTAACAGTTGTGTCTAGATTGGGTTTTTTTTGTTGTTTCTCGTGTTCACGGCGTAACTTTATTCAGTTGAGCATTTCGTTGTGTGTTTAGCGACACGTTCACTGAGCTTCATAACACCTTGCTGACTGAAAACGTGAAGAGACGGGGCCAAACGGAGGGCGGAGGTGTGGCTGACGGCGCATTTGTTTTGGTCTGAGACGCTGGTGGTCTAGTGCGACATCTAGTGGCTGCGACGATCGTTTACAGAGTCTTAAATGTTAAAGCAGCTGAAACCTCCGTCTAATTACAAGGTTGATCAACTGGTTGAGAGTCGCGTTCGGCTGCGTCCGAGTGTCAAATATCAAACAGACTTTTAATGTGAAAATTCAAGAGATGTGTTGAGGTTCATTCGTGGCAGCTCAGCGTGGTTCAGGTGAAAAGGTGAAGTGAGTCCATGAGGACGACAGGTGAACATGGAGGAAGTCTGCAGCAGCTGCCGGCCTTGAACATGTGACACAGAACGCAACTTCACGTCATCAGTCTATTCTCAACCATCCATAAAGTGAAAACATGCTTTTACTTTTTTTTTTTTTTGTAAATTTATTAACAGTTAAAAACTGAGTGGGACCTCACATACACAGGTGTGTGTGTGTGTCTTTCTACACTCTGTCCAATCAGCTCAGTTTGTCTCAGGTGAGCTCAGGTCACATCCTACTCTCATCTGAAGGATCATTAAATCAACCAGGAAGCAGCTGACCTCAGTCTGCAGCCTGAAGATTTCAGTTTTGGATTTTTAATTAATTTAATAAAGTCTCTAAAAACATTTTATCACTTGATCACTGTGGATTATTGAGACTGACGAGGTACAATGTGACTTTAATCCATTTACGACAGTAAAGTGAAGCTGCTGTATATTCAACTTGGTTTGACTCTGAACACAAACATCAGAACTGTTCTCATGTTCTACCTGCTGCTGTTCAACTGCTCAGTTCATGTTCTGTCCATGTGTCAGTGTTTGTCTGTAAAAAACTTAAGTCTATCACCTCAACATCAGATCTTCCTGTTTCATTATCTTTTTCTGTTTCTATTGAACTTTTTTTCAGATCTGAGAATCACTAAATGACAACTCCAAACTTTTCAGGCCTGAGGAAGGAGCCTGCTGCGCTGTGATTGGCTGAGAGTGTGTGTGACAGTAACAGCAGCGTGAGTCAGCAGGTTTTTATAGCCGATGATTCAGAGCTGAACTCTGACCTCTGCTGATGAAGACCAACAAACACTCTGCCTGCAGCAGACAGGGAGTCAGTGAATGCACCACCATGAGTCAGTGAACGTACCACTACAAGGAGCCAGTGAGTGCACTAACACAAAGTCAGCGAATGCACCACCCTGAGTCAGCAAACGTGCCATCATAAGGAGTCAGTGAGCGCACCACAACCATGAAGTCAGTGAATGCACCACCACAGGGAGTCAGTAAATGCACCACCATAAGAGGTCGGTGAATGCTCCCTCATGAAGTCAGTGAACACACCAAAACAGGGAGTCAAGAACACACCACCACAAGGAGTCAGTAAACACACCATAATAGAATAATAATAATAATAATAATAACAACTTAAATTTTTATAGCACCTTTCAAGATACACAAGACCGCTTTACAGATCCATATTAAACCATCATGAAGAGTCAGTGAACGCACCGCCACAGGAAGTCTGACTGAGCTCACATAGGGCTGAACCTATTGTTAATATTCAGAGCTGCAATGATCTGTCAATTAATCGATTAGAAAATGAATCAGCAGCTGTTTTGATAATCAAATCATCATTTCAGTCAAATGTCTCCAGTTTCTCAGACGTGAGGATTTGATGCTTTTCTTTGTGACACACGAGAATAAACTGAATCTGATGGTCGGACAAAACGAGACATTTGACGACGTGGGAAATGATAAGACGTTTTTTTTAACTATTTTAAATGATTAACAGAAAACTCATCAGAAGATCGTTTGATAATGAAAACTATCGCTGTCCTATATAAGAATAGATTTGATTATTTTAAAGATGAACCAATAAAATCCCAATAGAAGAGTAAGAGTGTGACGTCGTCAAGTGTCTGTGTCTCTGGTCGAGGACGCAGAGACAGACTGACTCACTTTACATCCTCTGTCTGTTTATGAGCTTCATCTTCCTGCCAGAAATGTGACGTTTAGATAAAGTTGTACTGTTATGACTGACTGACTGACTGGCTGACTGGCTGAATGAATGAATGAATGAATGTCTTCCTGTGAATGTGACTCTCACAGTCCACGTGTGACGGTGTGTGTGCAGCGATGTTCCAGTTTCACAGAACGATCAGCTGACTCCTGTTGGACTAACAGACCTCAGCTGATCCACTCAACCCGCCGCTCCTCTGACAGGAAATTAGCTGTGATTATTTTGATCATGAATTTTACAATATTACATTTAAATCTCTGTCATGTAGAATAATTGATTTGTTTTTATTTGTGGCTGTTTTGATAGTTGATTAATCATTTCAGTCATTTTTAAGTGAAAACTTCAGAATATTTCCAGGTTTCAGTCTCAACAGAGAAAATTTCTTGCTTTTCTTTGTCGTTTCAAACTAAATATTTGGGGTTTTTTTTTTACTTCTTGGATCAATGATGTTATAAATATTTCTGCACGCCTTTAAAATCACATGATTTTTTGAACATGTGTATTAAAACACACCTGAAGTGGAAATGAACAGGTGAAGTTCGACTGCTGCTTTAAATGGAGACGACACTTTATCTTTGAAAATCTTTGATTCGTCACAACGTAAACCGTAAACTGTCACCCAACAAAACTCCAGCCAATTCACTGAACTGGCATTCGGATTGTGCCTGAGTCGTTCTATGTCATGATCCATACAGCAGATCAATGCTGTAGTGATCAATCGATTGGTCGACTGACAGAAAATTAATGGATGAACCGTCTTCGTCATGATTGAAGCAGCGACGTCAGATCTTTAGTGTCAAACTTCTCAGATGATGATTTGATGCGTTTCTTTGTCAACTGAGGAATTTGGTGGATGGTGTTAATCAATTAACTCTGATATTGATTAATGATTGAAGTCACTTTTCAGCTGTTTTATTTTATGATGAACTGAAGGCGTCACCTCAGAGTTTAAAGATATTTCTCTCAATTTTATGACGGAACAATAAATCAGGAAACTGTTCAGCAGGTTAATCAATGATGATAACAGATAATCAATAATAGAGTTAATTATACAGTTAGAAACCTGATCATGTTCTGTTTGTTTTTAATCCTGTGGTTCTGATATTAATGCTCATGTTTCTATTTATATCAGAATAAATCCTCATTGAACATTAACAGAAGAAACTATCGATTAATGAATCAGCTGATCATTTTCTCGATTGATCATTTGTCTATGAATCATTAGAAAACAGTGAAGATGATCATGTCGCTGCTGCAGATCCTTATCAGAACCTGGACCGTCACGTGTCGGTCATTTACATTTAAAATGACGTTAAAATGATTCATTGATTATCAGAAGAGCTGCTGATCGATTTCTTTGGGCTGATTGATCGATTGATAAAACTGCTGCAGCTTTAAATGGATGATTTTATTTTTGTCTCCATTTAGTGAGAAGAACCTGGTAAATGAAGACTAACCTGTAACCAGTCAGTTAGTCTGACTGACCAGTAACCAGTCAGTTAGTCTGACTGGTTACTGGTTAGTTGTAGTAACTGGTGCCAGTCTACCAGCCCGCAGGCCTCCTGACAGACAGCAGTGACTCTGCAGTCTGACTCTGTGAACTAACCCGGACTAGATCCGACCTGCTGAACCCGCTCCTGCAGCGGAAGCGGTCCAGGTTAGACCCGTGAGTCCGGAGGGCCTGGTTTAGTCCGGGTCCGACAGTCTGTCCCGGCTGGGTGCGGGCTGGCCAGCCGGAATAAGATGGCCGCCCCGGGCCACACGGCCTGGGGGCAGGCCCGGCCCAGCCCGGCCCGGCTCGGAACGCGGACCGTGGTATGGATAAAATCAGAAAAGGCTCCTCTAACGTCCCCAGATTAAATCCCGTCACCGGAACATGTTTCCGCGAGACGTGAACACCGAGGAACCGTCGCTGTCGACGGACGGAGCAGCTAACTAACGGGAGCGGCGGCCATGCTAGCTAACATCACGCTACATGCGGAGCCACATAACGGTCCACCGGAGACCCGCGGGATCCGGACCGCACATGATCCGCGTTCTGGGGTCCGCTGTCGAACCCGGGGGAGAGTCTGCTGCCGGTTCTTACCATGTTGTTCCGAGGTTCGCTCGCGCTGCTTCGCCGTCAGATCGGGGTTTCTCAGGGGTGAAAGGTAGCGGGGAATGTGGCCGGCCGACCGGAGGAGGAGGAGGAGGAGGAGGGGGGAGGGGGAGGNGGGGAGGAGGAGGAGGGGGAGGGGGCAGGAGGAGGGAGGCGGGGCCACATAGGAATCAGACCTGCGGCACTCACAGCACGGACCGGACCGGTTCACCTTCCAAACCCGTGTTAAAGTTCTGAAACTGTGCTGATGCAAAACCCATCACAAGAAAACATGAAGCAGAGTTCATCTCTTTTTTTAGGGGGGGGGTCTGAAGGGCAACCCCCCCCCCCGGGATATATGACTGCAGAGGGTTCAGCTGACAAAGACTCATCACCTGAGACCTCATCACAAAGTCAGTGTAAACATCTGGATCACATCTGGACCCAGTGACGATGAAGCAGCTGATGAGGAGTCAGTGAACGCACCACACCCGTTTCATCTGTTTCACTCTTTTCAGTTGTTGAAATAAAAAGAACCAGAGCATCAACAACTAACCTACGACTGTCAATCTGTTTTCTGTTTATTTCAAGTCACTCACGTTGATTTTTCCTTCCGCAAACAGCTGCATCTTTATACAAACAGATTTTCTCCTTCTCTCACATCAATCTGTTCCACAATCACAAAACTTTATTGATCCTCAGGGGGACATTAGGGTACGATACAGCTGCTCCCTCAAGAGTGGAAACAAGGAGTACAGAATAAAAAGTAAGATTATAAAGATAAAATATAAAGATAAAAAGTAGAAATGTCTTTATACTATGATATATAAATAAAAAAATAGAATATGTAAAGAATTATGTCAGGATAAGTGCCACTACTATTGAAGGTGAAGCTTAAAAAATACAATATAAATATAAATGCATGTGTATGTGGTGTAATTACAGTTTAAAGTTGCACTTGTCTGAAACAGTAGAATAATTGCAGTGAATAGAGATGATGAAATGTTGCACTCCTTCAGTATAAATGGATGATTAAATATAATTATATATATATATACACACATATACAGATATTATTGATATATAAATAAAGATTAAACAAATTAGTCAGATAAAATATGAACCACTTGTGTGAAAGTTTGTCATAATTGCTGTGAAGTCTTGAGTTATGGGTAAAGTGTTTTGTGAAGTCACACTGACCTTTGACCTTTGACCACCAAAATCTAATCAGTTCATCTTTGAATCCAGGTGAATGTTTGGGTCAAAACTGAAGAAGTTCTCTCAAGGTGTTACCGAGACCTGAAGACAACATGGCGTCCGGCTCTGCCTGTCAGCAGCGGCGTGGAGGAATAAAAAGTGACTGTGCCAGTGTTTATTCATGTGAGATGTGGAGATGAGGCTGTTGCAGTGAGAGAACAGATCATCAGGCAGCAGCTGGTTATAAAAAGTCAATTTATTTTTACATTAGAACAACAAACAGGTTAGAGAGCGTCGGGAGGCGGAGAGCGTCTATCAGTCATAAATAAAGACAATGCAGAGACTTGAACTAAATAAATACACAGGGGGGGGGGGGGCTGCAGCAGCTCCAGTGTAGTATCTACAGCTGACCCCCTCCCACACACACACACTCACACACACACACACACACACACACACACACACACTCACACTGGAGGAAAAACGACTGGAGAATGCAGCCAAACGTCAAACAAACAGTCTAAAGCAGGAAAAGTCGCAGTAGTCAAAACAGAAAAACTACAAATCCACAGAGGCCACAGCAGCTCAGGTTCTTAAAGGAACAGTCCCACATTTCCAGACACTCCTTTCTGTGTGTTCTCAAGTCAGAGTTTGGTTTAGGTGCTTCCAGTCTTTATGCTAAGCTAAACTAAGCTAACCATGTCGTGATGATCACTTTGTGTTTGACCGGAGTCAACCAGTAATCGATGATCAGAACAGCTGGAGGTTGTTTTCAGTTGAGTAACTGATGAATCACGTCTCGACTCTGACCACAGAGACGGTGAAATGTGCAACTGTTCCTTTAAGGCTCGTTCTCATTAAACCAGGTGTTGAAGTGACGGAGCTCGTTTGTTCTGCTGCTTTTAAACATTTCATCAGACCCAAGTTCACATTTTCATATCTGAAACAGTGTCCAAGTTATGAGCTGCACCTGTACAACAACACGCGCACACAGCTCGTCACGTCGTCAGGTGATGTCACACTTCCTGTTTTCAAAAGAGGGTCAGAATATTAGGAACACCTCTGAATATAATCGAGTGCAGCACAGAGTGACAGAACTAACATCAAAAACTGAACATCACCAGCAGCATGGCTGTATTAGACTGTACAGGTGTACCTAATAAAGTGGACACTGAGTGTACGTCACAACTGGCTGATCTTCTTCTGTGGTTTTTTTTTGTTTTGTTTTTTTTTTTAAAACAGTTTTCTCAAGATCATTAGTTTAATTAAATGTTGATCACGTCTCAAACTGGGAAATCAGACTGAGGGGGAGCTGTGTGTGTGTGTGTGTGTGTGTGTGTGTGTGTGTGTGTGTGTGTGTGTGTGTTGGTTTGATATCTGGAGATAAAAGATCAACCAGCAGCTGCCAAAATTAAAAATAAACTTTCAAACTGTGTGACAGACTTTTAAAAATCCAATTTTCATTTTCAAGTTCAGTCTCTTCAGAAAAATAAACCTCAGACAAACGTGACGCAGAATTCATGAATTTCATCTGATGAAGGTCAAAAACGTGAAAAAAAAAAAAAAAATCCAAAATCAAATAAATTTTCAGAAACTGAAAGTAAAGTTTCAGTTTCAAATGTTCACGACAGGAAAACTGGACTTTCACATTTTAATTATGTCTCAATTTTAGATCATTTCTGATGAAAATCCTGTTCTCAACATTTTCATCTTTTTTTCATTGACATTTCAATCTTCTGCCAATTTAAAACAACAAGTCCGTTTCATTAATATCAGCAACGTCTTTTATCAGAGAAGATTTAATCTGAATGTGTATTCCAGCGTTTAACATGATCCTTGGATTTTAAAACTTAAATGTTTGTCACACATCACATCTCAATTTGTTGAGTTCATTTTAATTTTGGCAGCCTCGGGCTTCCGTACAGACGTGATAACGAGCCTCACGCAGCTGCAGCCGCCGCGGCCGCTCTGCTTCAGTGAAAACCAGCTGCACTGTTACAAAATATTCATCATTCAAATCAAAAATTTCGTCCCTGAGCAAACAAACGGCCTGATTTCATCTTTTTTTTTTTGTTTGTTTATTGTCAGTGCAAAGCTGAAGTTTCTTTAGTGGTTTTTGCTTCTCTGGATGAAAGGAGACATCAGCTGGAAACTGCTGGGACTCTACGTCTCTACAGGAATGTGTCTGTGCTACAAGTCGCCGTCCGTCCACACAGACGGGAGAAAAATGCCCTGAACATCAGCAGGTCGGAGGAAATCTACGCCACGACTTCTCTACGGGTTTATGAACTCACAGTAGCTGCAACTTTTTTCCAGGTTTGTTTGTTGTTGTTTTTTTTGAGAGTGAAGCTCCTGATGAGGCGAGCAGGTGAGAGGGCGGAGCCTCCAAACATAATGGCGATAACAGTCTGATTCAAAACAAACTCAGACTCCAGAGTTTTACCTCTGAGTAACTTTAACTGGTTTAACATTAATTTAATGTTTGGTTCCTTTTCATGCTGAACTTCATGACCTTTGACCCCTGCCGTCTCTTTACAAACAGCTGGAAACACTTTGATTTGTGTGTTTTTGTGAACGACACACTGCCGGTTCAGACCGCTGTGGCCGACGCTCTCTGGGGTCAGAGGTCACGAAGGAGCGACCCTGGATTATTATCGACGCCGAGTCTGTCCATCAGGAGGGAAACAATCACATCTTCTACATCCCGCCCACCTCCAGCCCCTGAACCAATCAATATGCAGCAGAGTGGACGGCGGTGAGGTCGGAGGGTGCGTTTGGTTCAGTGTCGGGTGCGCTTGGCAGGCGGGGCGGAGCCGCGCTCCGATAGGCCGAGTCTGCCGAGCTCCGAGTGGAAGAACTGCTGCAGGCGGTGACCGGCCTTGGCCTCGTTAGTGTGACGAGGGTTGTACTGAAGACAGTTGGAGAACATCAACTCCACGTCTGAGATGAACTCACCTGAGGAGACAGACAGGTGTCAGGTGTAATGTTAAAGTGTAGCAGGTGCTCTGCCTCACATCAACAGACTGTCGTTAGATGAACTGAGAAGCGGCTGTTGTGTTGATGTGTGCTGCGGGACGTGGACAGGTCCTGGCAGATACATATGTACGTCCTTGTAGACGTGTAGGAACCAACAAACAGAACTGAAGTTCAATCTTTTTTTCCAGGTTCTGGGTTCTTGGCATTTTGGAACTGGGTTTGGATCAAAGACTTTCCTCCTCAGTCAGTTAATTTGGTTCTGCCGTGGGAACACGGATCACATCGAGCTGAAGGAACCATCACACATTGGTTCCTACTGCAGATAACAGACTGATCGACTTAGTGCTTACACACTTTACTGTGTTTCATTATAATGAACTTCCTTTTATAAAATTCTGATCATAAATGATTAAGAAATCTTTAAAATAAATAAATAAAAAAAGAGGAGGAGTCAGGACTAAGGTCTAAAGTGTTTCCTCACCTGCTGTCTGATATTCACAGTTGTTGACCTTCTCTCTGATGGTGCTGAGAGCGATCGGCTTCTTGATGATGTCATAGTAGTCGGGCACCTGCACACAGGTAGACAGAGACTTTCAGCTTTTCAGTTACCAAGAACTTCTGAAGATCCCTGTGAGCACCAAATATTTGGTTCCATCAGGTGTCATCTTGTTCTTTAAGGTTCTCCTCTCGTTGTGGAACCTTCACTGGATCCAGTCGACACCTATAGAAAGTTGTTTTGCGTCTGTTTCCTGTAAAAGTAAAATCAATAGAAATATCCGCAGCTTATTTCAAACTAACTGTGTGTCCGTCTCTTATGTAACTCGACCTGGAGCAAACTAATAAATAGTAATAAACTAACGCGTCTTCCTCACAGACGTCCACTAGTGGACAAAGTTAAAGAGATTTCTGGTGACATTCAAGAGGAACATTGATGTA